GCGAGGAGCGGGCTTTACTCCTGCGGCTGTGTCCCACGGAACAGCGTGACGTGTGCGAGACCGTTTGTTATCGGCCGTTTCTGCCGGCTCGGGTGCGCTGAGCCGGAGAACACAACCCAAAACACAACCCCTCCTTCTCGGGGCCGTGCTTCGGTTCTTCGGGCCGCGTCCGTTTGCCACCGGTGGCTGTGAGGAGCCAGAGCACTCGGTGAGCCCGTGGATGTGGGGCCTGGGTGTCCGGCGTTACCTGTCCCCAAATCCCAGCCCCTGGGGAGAGAGCGAGAGACCAACCCTCGCAGTGCGCTGGGCTGGCTTACAACATACGTGATGCTGGGATCTGTACGTAGCAGGAAAGAGCCGACGTGTTGGTCTTCCCGGGGGTGGTACATCTGATTAGTCTGGGCTACAATTAAGCCTTTTTGCCAGGCCTTTTTTTCTGGGAGCCATGGTAACCATATGAACGTCTTCGATTGCTTCTGTCGAGGTGGACTTCCCTGCCTCCGTGTTGGCAGCGGAGTCACCAGAATTAGTGACGGAGCTGTGTGTGGTTAGTGTTTCCCCTTTTCTCCCCCCAGCTTTGGGACCATTTGGACCACACAATGTTCTTTCCCGACTTCAGACCCTTTCTGAGTAGCAGCTCACTGGATCAAGACAGCAGGGACAACGAGAGGGGCCACCAAGCCCACGCCGACCTCTGGGGACCCAGCCGACCCCCGCGATTGCCCATGACGCGGAGGTACAGGTCCCGGGGCAGCTCACGCCCCGACAGGTCTCCTGCTATCGAAGGGTAAGTGCCTAAATTACCCCCTGGCAGCGTCTCCTTCCCCCATCAGTGGTAAAGTGTGGGAATTTGGGGAGAAACCTGTCAGAATGGGATCCTGGCACTTATGGTAGGTGACCCTCGGGCCCGGAAAACGCAGGGTTTCACGTGGGATGCTCTACCCTTTGTCCCCCCTCGGCGTGAATCGAAGCTGCCTGGTGGGAAAGGTGGGTTTTGCCTGTAAGGGTGCCAGCCCACACCGCAGGGAAACGAGTCGGTGCTTTGGGAAACTCGGTCATTTCCTTTCCCTCTCCCCGCCCTCCCACGCTCCGATGAGTTAGCGTCCCGTGTTCCTTCGCGCTGTGCCTCTGGCTCAGGGCTCGCCCTTCTGCAGAGGGATTTACCTGGGCGGGAGTCTGGCGACAGCGCGCCTGCCATCGGCCGGAGCAGTATTTCGTGTTTTGCTGCCCGTTCTTGCTAAACCGTTGCTGCTGCCATTTATTTGTTTGTTCAACTTGTTCTTTTTTTTTCTCTTTCGATTCCTCCCTCTTTAGAATAATACAGCAGATCTTTGCAGGATTTTTTGCAAACTCAGCGATTCCTGGCTCACAACATCCTTTTTCCTGGTGAGTAGCGAGCACGGTTTAGACCGTGGCTTTGATCACAGCTGTCCACACCAGTAAAAAGCCCTGGTCTGGTGCCCGGGAGCTCCCTCTCCCTGGGACAGCTTCCTAGAGAGGATTGTGCAAGCCTTGGAGCTGGTTTAGGGTGGGGGAAACGGCTTCCTTGACTCTCGGCTCTCCCTCGGCAGGAGCGGGATGCTGCACTCGAACCCTGGGGACTATGCATGGGGACAGAGCGGCCTTGATGCCATTGTCACCCAGGTAAGACCCTCCTGTGTGCCTGGGCACGGGAAGGCCCAAGCTGGCTAGCCTGGGCTTTGATCCGTGCCTGGAAGTTTTTGTGCTCCTCTCAGGTCAGTCCCTCGGGCTGGAGACGAGCCCTGGGTTTCGGCCGGGGGCTCGTCGCTCTCTGGCTTGGTGGTTGCTTATGCCCTGCGTCCTCAGCGGGCCCGGGAGCGGGGGTCAGACCTCAGTCCTGCGGAAATAGTTCTTAGTTCTACGGTGCCTTGCCTCTTTCTCAACCCGTGTGTGGCGCGAGGCTCGCAGGTGCCTTGCAACGGCCTCAGCGGAGGCTGAAGATGAAAATCTCCCAACGTCAGCCCCGGATCTCTCACCGAGTTGAGCAGTTTGCAGCTGTGAGCCATTTCCCCCTGCGGTTTGTGGAGGGATGAGCCGAGTCCGCTCCCGTTCCCTGGAAGCATCGTCTGGCTCCTTTGAGGATCGGGGGTGTCCAGCCTCCATCCACAAACAGTCTCTTCCAGGGCGTTGGCATCACTGGGGTGGGAAGAGCAGACGGATGCTTTACTGAGAGCTAATTTGGCCGCTGTTGTCGTGCTGACACCTCCCGAAAGCGCCTGGCAAAGCCATCTGCTGCCATTCATAAGCAGCCCCCGGCTTCCCAGGCTGCCTCACGCCCGTCTCGCCCGCCGTACTCGCCGCTTCCCAAAATGAGTCTGCAGCCCACATGGCCGCTCGGAGACAGCACCTTCCCCCTCCCACCCCACGCAGAGCAGAGCAAGCCCCGGCAGGCGCGGTGCGGTGGGGTTGGTGTCGCGGTTCGCATCCGGGCTGGATACGTGGCTCCGCTCGGCTCTCCGCTGGGTCTGGAGCGGCAGCCCTGCCCATCCCAGGGTTTCGTGTCATCCCAGGCATCTTAATGTGGCCTTCAGAGCTAAACGAGGCTCCTGCGGATGCTCCTCTGCGCTCTCCCTGAGCGTGCTTGAACCCGTTTGAGCTGAGTGAAGAGGCGCTGTCAGCGCCATCGCTGCGGCTCCCGGCGCCCCCCCCTTTGGTTC